CATTAATTTTATATATATTTCATTATAAATTTTTTTACCACTCCTCTCTACCAACAAATCTAGAATTTAACACTTTTTAAATAAAGAATGAGACGTGAAGTTTTTCTCAACATCTATTGTTCTTCACTGTATCAATATCATTTGTTGTTCAATTATCAAGTTAGAAAATACTATTAAGGGATTAATCTCATCTTCCAACAGAGATCAAAATGCATATCTAATAATGTGATTTTAAAAGATAATAGATTAAAATTAATTTCATTCATTTTTATATGAGTATATGAATATTTTTAGACCATTTATGAATTAGACCATGATTTAATGATAATTAGAAAGCAAAAAGAACACCCATGTTTTCAGTATGATTTCAATATTTCATCTATTGAACATACTGTAAGTGTACTATTAAGTCATAAAAATTCTTCTTTAGATAGCCTTAAAAAGACAATCTTTATATGAGCATAAAACATCAGGAAAGATAGCAATACACTTTTACATTACTTAATATCTGCACCTTAGTCTGGATTATTTAGCTTAGGCAAAAGCACACAAGGCACATCTGTCTATATTGCAGTAATTAAAAAAAATTTTTTTTTTCATTCCTATATTACATTATACTGGCACAATTGTATCATCCACATGACTTATCAAATTCTACTATTATGCAAAGCACTTATCATGTAAGTTGCCATGAAAATTGCCATTTCTCAGAGAAGTTGTTTCTGATGCCATAAATTATACATTTGGATACAAAATAATCATACATTTACTGACACATAATCAGTTCCTTAAATATTGATTTACATATAAATTTCCAGTTAAAAATTTCTTAAGGTGGAGAATTCTAAGAAAACAATTTCAGAACTATGGGTGAAGATGAGATATAAAAAAAGAGGGGGAAAATCCTTTATATAGTTGAAGAATAAAATACTCATTATACTCAATTCATTAAAAATTGTTTGATAAATTAAGGTCACTAAATTCACTAAGCTTACATTAAAATATTTTCAATAGAAATTTTTAAAAAATTACAAGGTGCATGGGAGAGTCTATTTTGCAGTTTCAACCTATATTTATCCTCAAAAGTTTTGAATTTAAGGTGGTAAGACATATGGAAAAATTAGTAAATACTTAAGTCAGTAAATTCGATTTTCATATATATTTGCGAACACTATACATAAAATTTTGAACTACTTAAGATCCTGAGCACCATTTAAATGAAGTTTTATTTTTAAAATGCAGGATTGTAGTTGCATTTATACTTGTTATTTGCAATAGCACTTATCATTCATTTCAATCTTCCACACTTAAGAAATTAATACAATAAGAGTACAAGATTTCAGCATTCATGTTATACCAATCCCATGGTAATCGAAATGAAAGATGAATCTTACGTAAATCATACAACGTGTTTGCAGAGGGTTGATGAATATTTTATTTGTTGAAATTCTAGTTTTATGGAAACCATATAGAAACCTCCCTTTAAAAATGTCTCCTTATAGTATTAAGATTTTTCACAAAATGCTTCATTCGTGTTAAGAATCTTTGTAAGTAATATGGATCAATATTCAAAAATCTGTAGCATCATTTACAAGCACTTTGCATGCATTATGGGCTTACACAAAACTATTATTTTCTTTCTTACTGTTGAAAAAAATGCACTTAAGCTATTAATTTATTTTTTAGTTTCCTTATATTAATTTTTGATTAATTTCAAACTTTCTGACACATTTCTACATGATTTTCACAATAAAACCAAATAACGAGACTACATTACTTATTTGTGGATCTTAGGTCACACAACAATTGTCTTTATAAACATTTTTTTAAATAAGATACTGCAATATAAAAAAATTGCAAAAAGTGTGCTTTTATTCAAACATTAGCGGCAGCACAAATAATTTTCACATAATATCATGGCCCTTTGTATTTAATTTTTTTTTCTAGAAATGAAACTATTCACAGTGAAATAAATGTGAAATACAGTTAAATACTTGAAAAAATCATAATACTGAACTCAGTCAGAATTTCTTTCACATAAAAGTTTTAAAGTCAGATTTTGCATGTTATAAAAAGTCTCATAAGGCTTCATAAGTACTATGAAGATCTGCAATTTTACCTATTTTTAACTGAGATCTTTCACATGTAAAATGCAGTAAGGTGTATATACAAAAAACAAACAACATTTAAAATTCTTCAAGTATACAGACAAAAGACACAATAAAAAATAAAATCACAAAATAGTTTACAATAGTAGGTGGGTTCAAATAATATGCAAACGCAGTTCAATAATAAAAAAGTAGCATAAATATCTTACAATATCACTGGACATTTGAATTGAAAAAATTCAAATTTGGTTAGATAAAAGTTAGCAAAATCAGCATTTAATAATCCAGTATGCTTTTAAATCAGCTTGAACCAAGTTTACAAAACTTGCTTCTAATTAAAAATAATTAATACTTTACAAGGAAAAAAATCTACAAATATATATTCACAGACATTTATTTGCTATAAATTGCACATGAAAATTCTGAATTTTATTAAAAAAATTCATATGAAAAACTTCAGCATAATTTAATTTAATTGATTATTCAACTAATTAATTTTTTGTGCATACTTTTGTATGCACAAAAGAAAATTCCAATTTTTTGAGTTAATTTTGAATGAGAAACTTCTGCACATTTCAAGAGATAAACATCAAACAAGGACTACATTTTTCTATTAATTTAAATGCAATACTAGTTTCTAAAGAGATAAGAATACAGCAGTTATTCTCAAATAAAACAAACAACTCAATGTAACGACAGAAAATTTCATTAAAAAGAAGATATTAACAGAGTGTTAACATATAATATTTTTAGTTCCTATTTGAAACATACTGATAATAATAAACAGAAACCTGATATCACAGAAGAACTGACATTAAAAAAATTCAGATTTTTAAATTTAAATGATATCTTTTGTTAGATAATTTTTGAGAGATTTAATTTCACCAGTTATTATGCTGATTTTATATGAATTTTAAGTAAGTCTGTATGAATAATAAATGCACTTTTACAATGCTTCAAAAATTACAAAATCTTGATAAATAAAATATAAAGTTTCATATTCAGCTTGCTATTTTACAATTGCATACACTTCTATACAATCTAACATAGCCAAAATGCAAATGCACTTATGCACTTAAAGTAGTGTTTAATTTGCAGGAATTTAAAAATAAACATTTATTTCTTTTAATTTTCTCTTACTGTGGAAATATAAATAATTTAGAGAAAAAATTATTGAGATTCAACATTCTATTGCTAGTAAAACATTCCATATAAAAATTGAATGGCAGCTTTCAGTTTATTAAATATTTTTACATGGGCATATATATATATATATATATATATTAATTACTGGCAAACAGTTATTTGCCATAAACCATTTGATAGTAATCAAAAGAAAATATTTTATATTTAAATTCCTCTTAAATTTTTAACTAACATAAAGGAAATTATTCCAATAACAAAATATTTCTCATAGTTTTAGGCATCTTCACATACTATATATACTGCATATATGTAGTTCACAGACCACACCCACAAATGGATATGTATGTATATACACTCACACACACACACTATATTATTATAAGCATGGATATATATATATATATATATAATATTAATAAGTAGTTTATCATCTGCTTGTTACTGGTATTGTATCTTAAAACCCTTTTACAGCTTAGCTTAAATTTTTGCTACTATGGAATATAAAAAATATTTTTGAATTTGTTTTTTCCTATGAATCATAGCTTTCATGAATATAGGTACAGAGAACATTTAGTCAACAATGGGATTTTTGTATAGGTATTACTTTGTTTATGAAAATCAATAATTATATTTAATTCATAATAATTTGTTTAATATGATTAATATATGAATCATACTTAAACAAAAAAAACATGATTCTTCATTTATACAGGTTATGAAAACAGATTTTAATGTATTTTAAATAACTGACAACAAAATTTGGCAATTAATTAATTGATAAAAATAATAATAACAATTTGAAACAAATTTTCATTTAATGATTTACTGCTTATTAAAATTAAATTCGGATACCATAAAAAATGTTTGGATGGCTATCATAATTAACAAATGAAACCTGTTAATCTCAAACTTAGAATATTAAAAAAAAATTTTGGTTTCTAAAATACTTATACAAGACCTGCTTTACAAGGTCAGATATTAGCTTTTAAAAGCAAACCCTTCTTACATTAACATAAAATAATATATATAACTTAATGTGGAAACTTCAAAAATTATAAACTTAAATTAAAAACAAATTCAGTTAGCAGCATCTACTGTATACAAAATTCAGTTTCACAATAAAAAATAAAAGATTTGTTCATGATGTGAAATATTATAAACACATTTTTATTTTTTGACTATACAACTGAGATTGACAGTAAAAATATTTTATGACTGAAAAATGCATAAAATTCATATTGTTTGTAAATTTTGAATATCGAACAATCATTTGCATCTGTGCAACAGTAAAATATTAAGGACAACGCTTTTCAAATCATAAAAATATCCCCCAAAAAGAAAAAAATTTAAACGCACATAACAGGTTAAAACAAACAAACAATTTTTGCCATTCCAATTACTAAACTCATTGTTTCTAAATGCTTTTTCATAACACCTAGAAGAACATACACTTTGTTCGTATTTCAAGAATATAGCAACAACAGCTACAGAAAACAGGCATCACAAAAACATAATTCTAACTAGAAGGAAACTACTAAAAACTCTCCTTATATTTATATGAGATCTTATTTCTAGTTAGACATTACTGTTTGTTCATAGCATTCATGATCATACTTTTCTACATATCTTAAAAACTGGAGTCCTTAAAAGAGGATTAATCCATAAAATATATTTTGCACAGGATTTATAAAGAAAAATATATTTTGCATAACAGATATATTACAAAACTTTAATAAATTACTTATGTTACTCTCCAACATCTGCATCTTTATCCCCAATACTGTACAGAATGGTAAAAGCTATTGCCAGCAAAGCTGTACCCAGTAAGTCACCTAAGGCAGTAAGATATGGTATTGCAGAGTTATCTGGATCAATGTGCTTTATCCACATCCAATGGATCATGACATGTGCGAAGTACAAAAGAAGAGCCACCTAATAAATGGAAAATATCTTACAGATAATATACAGAAAATTTTAATATAAACGTATGTTTTTTCATTTTCCTACAGAATTCCTTTGAAAAACCCACACATCTAAAATTCTAATTAAGCTAATATGGCTCAAATTTCTGCTCAATTTAGTTAAACATCTGATAACACTAGAACAATTTTTTAACAACATATTTTAGAAATATACAATTTTTAAGTTTCATTTCATACTAGCGGAAGTACCCGATGCCAGTTAAGTTAGATTAAGAGTAATGTATCTAACAAGAGAGAGAGAAAAATATCACTGTAATTCTTCTCTAATAACGATGCAAAAAATACAATTCATACTTAACTTTTCAATCTGATGCAATATGGAAACCGTATAAAAAATTTTGATAGAAAAATAAACTAATTCTCTCTCATTATATCAGTAACAATGACACACAGTTTTTAATGATTTTTGTCTTTCCAATCAAATTGTCATAAAAGCTCAAGTTCCTTCTAATATTTCACCTATATTCAATTTTAGTCGATGAAATTTGGCAAAAATTTTATCATATATACAGATTATTTATATATACAGATTTTGTAAAACTTACAAATTTTTGATTAACAGACTCTACCATTTGAAAGCGAGCACTAGCAACACTTTTTGAAATAAAGTATTTTTATCTCCAATGCACGAGACTGTTACTACTCGGAAAAATGAGTGCAAAAATTTATTTTCAGAGTTTTTAATTAATATCTCAGCTGATTAAAAAGTTGTACGAAAATGGGAACAATCGAAATGATTTCTCACAAATCTATGAAATCAGAAATAATGTAATTAATGTTTGGTAATGTTCCTTTTTATTTCATTGTGAAACTTATACATTTTTATTAACAAACTCTGAGATTTGAAAGCGAGCAGTGGCAACACTTTTTCGAATAAAGTAGATTTTTATCGCCAGTGTGCGAGGCTGTTGCCACTCAGACAAAATTAGGGAAAAACGAGCATTTTCAGAGTTTTTAGTTAATATCTCTGATTTTAGTTTTGAAAAATGGGATGTTGATCTTTTCCAGGGGAAAAAAAAGAATGGTAGAAAGTTCCGTGAGATATAGCTTTAGTAGTGACCGAGTTAAACACGGGCAAACACACAAACAGACATTCTTCTTTATATATATAAATAATTATAAAATAATGTAGTTTGTCAGCAAAATTAGCCTAACAAAAACATATGAATGACGTGCACACAAGTAGGGCCAGTATAATAGCAATAGGAGGCAATATTTTAGGAATTTAGGAAAGAACCAGGCAGCAGAATATTGGATTTGTGGAGTTTGCACCAGGTGGCAAAATGTCTACTGCCAGCCCTGCAAACAAGTAATTAAATATCATAAATGATACCATGTTACCCATAAGGAAAAAAATTTAGTCTTAGCAACAGTGATCTTAAAGAATTGAGCAAGGTACCTACGTTGAAAGAAGAATGCACTCACAATTGAGACAGTAGCCATTGTTTTAGAAAAGCATGATTCTTTTGTTTCATTATGACATAGGAAAATGTGCATGTGAAGAACTTTCTTGGGGAAACTGAATAACATCACACAGGAAAAAAACTACAGACATGCTCCTAATATGTAATCAAATGCATAAAATCTTACAATCTACTTTCGAACATTAGTATATTATGATTTACATCACCTGACAGACAACAACAGACCAAGTCCATGGCGAAGATGAAAAATCACATTTGTTGCTGGCATGGGTTTTGGGCACCTTATAGGTGACAAATGACTTCTGTTCCAAGTTTGGAGGTGAATTCTTCAGATTACAGACCCACTACCATGAAACCTCTACAGACGACTTTCAACTCACCATGCATTTTTAATGTTTCCATGTTCAAAGACACTGTACATTTACAAACATCTAAGCTTTCTCCAGATTTTAACATGGGCCTAATGATAAAGCAGCTGGGATCACTATACCAGTCTACTAATCACTATACCAGTCAGAGCAGTAAACATTGACATAATGTACATAAAATGAACAAATAAAGTAAAAAAATATTACTCTCTTGCTTTTTAAGTCAAATTTAAAATAAAATAAGAATGCATATTATACATTAAATATAAAGAATTATTTTAAAAGAAATACCTGAATTACAGCTGCTAACAAATAAAATGTCAAAAACATAGGGGTCACTGATGTATGACCAGCATTCACAAAGCGAATTCCATATGTGAACACAAGATGACCAGGGATGACCATCAACATAAGGACTCTCGCTGTAGTTGAATGTAAACCTATAAATATTAAAGCAAATTTAAGATTCTCAAGTGTTAAGCTGTATTAATGTGGTAATTTTGTAGTTTACTCAAACTTATATATAATGAAAAAAAACTTACAAAGTGACATGTATTCCTTTTCTCAAAATTTTACAGTTAGTAAATCATATAAGTAATGAATACTTAAGAAATTTAAAATTAAAAACTTTGTGAAATTAATAACATTTTTTAGATTACATACCGTAAAACCTTTGAATATAAAATGACAGAATACATTTAGCTTTAAACATGCCATTAAAATGGAAATTTTTAATCACTTCTTTCATAACTACAGAATTATGACACCAACACATCTTTCAGGTATAGTAATGCTCAGACAAAATTTCTCTGACATTCAGACACTTAAAATCACACTTTAAATATATTTACTAAGCATCAAAATTAAAATGCTAACAAATAATATTAAACTGACAGCCTCTTATCTCTTAAAAGATAAACATTTTATATTCAGAAATGCAAAATTTAGTTTAGGAAAAAGAATGCTGCAATAATAATACATACTCGCAGTTTAGGAACAAAATTTAGAGCTAATAAATTTGAACAAGAAAATAATTAAAAATTCAAATTTAATCTCCCCCCCCCCAAAGCTAGTAAATGTATTTGGATCACGGAGTAATTAAAAAAATGCACTGTAATATATTTTACATGCTATCAGAAAGAAAGTATAGTCAATAAAAAACAGTTAATTTTTAACTGAAAAAAAAAAAAAACATGGTGATATACATCAAGACCACTCAGCATTTAAACAGATTCTGTCACAATACAGTCAAAAAAAAAAAAAAAAAAAAAAAAAAAAAATACAGAAAATGTTTGTTATCATTAGAGATTAAATTTTTTTCATATGAATTCAGCAGCAGTTTACCCTCCTTCCTTACTTTCAGATGAATCTTAAACTGCATATTTTAAAAGAAAATTATCACACACTAAATAATGAAACTTGTACTTTAGAATTAAAAAAAAATTAAGTTACAATAGATTTTGTTTAAAATTAACTGTTTTTGCAAGAGTTTCTTCTTAAATTATATTCAATGAATTTTCATTTTAGATTATACTATAGCTATTCTTTAAACTCTAGAATTCAAAGACAACCATAAAATTTTATTCTAACTTCCTTAATGTGAACAATACATGTCCATATTCCTAATTATTATGTGGAATAATCATTTCTAAAAATTATCAAGTTTCAGCACTGGTTAACAGTACTCTACTACTACTAAATACTACTCATAACATCCACTAAATAAGACTTACTTTTGCACTTACCATTAAAACACATTGAACACTGTACATTCTTTCAATAGTAAACTTGCAATTATTAGCCCAGGAGAGCTATTAATTTTGTTTTGTTTTGCATTTTGCATCGAAAACTTTAAAAGTCTAAATCATGTTTCAAATTGTTGCCATCAAATATTATTGCCCTGTATTATATTTAAAATATTAAATATATGTATATTTCTCACATTGTGATAAAACAACGGTACCCGAAGACATCCAATTTTGAATAAGGTACGTCTCCACCCGAATATGGGCATCTGGAAGCTCAAATTCGGAATTTATTATTTATTTCATATTTTGTAAAACTTTAAGGAATTTTTTATTAACAAACTCAACGATTTCAAAGCGGGTATAAGTTACACTCTACAGGGGGGGGAAATGTTTTTCCCCTGCATCGTGCAAGACTGCGTATCAAAAATTATAAAGATATGCTCGTTTTAAATTATTTTGTGATATTGCTGTTGAATTGAATTTTATAGTTTAAATGTGAAGAACATGATATTTAATAAATAAACGTAACACACAAAACATTAAAAAAAAAAAAAAAAAATTGCGCATAATATAAAATTCGAAAGCTTTCAGATCTTGTTTTTTCTTTTCTTTTTTTAATTACTCTCAGTTTGTAAAATTGTAATAAAATTCACTAATTTTAAATGATTCTCTTAAAAAAATACGACAGAAAATAACTTCTCGCCACATTAAAAAAAAAAAAAAAGAAAGAAAGAAGACCAATAAGTGAAAAACTTTTAATCAAGCATGCTGATTAATTATATCTAGGGGTTCATATTAAAAATATTGACAGACTGCATTCATGATTAAATTAGTGATTCAATGCAAATGAAAAAAATCTTTTCTAAAGCTAGATACTTTACTTTTTCCAAAGAATGCAGATATGGGATCCTTGCACAGTTCTGAATCTTCTCCAGGCAATACACCTAATTTTGATCTTTGATGAAGATATGTTGAGATGCGACTAGCTTGAACTGCAACTAAATTACCTCCTACTCCTGAACACATTTTGAAAATAATTCAGTATTAGACAGTTATCAAGCTAATGTGGAATCATAAAAAAACTAATTAATTTGCATGTTTCTCAAATGAAATATGCACCAGAAAACAAAATTTTAAAAAAATTACGTAGATTTAACTATTTATACACATCATATAAAGGAAAAGTTGCTCTAAAATTAAACATCTGCTGCTTACTTTTTGTAAAATTTAGCGAAATCCTAAATAATACTGTTACTGCATTTTCTTAGTAAGCTTATTATTCAGAACATTTTATTACCTAAAAATAAACTTGATGCAAAATTTATAACAAAAAGTAAAAACATTCTTAAAATTTTAAGTTTTCCTCCCTCTTACGATTAAACATTAAAACATTTTGCATTCTAACTGAGCTATTTTAACAGTTTAAACATTATTGAATATTTTAAAATGAAAAATCTACAATTTTGTACAAAAAATAAGCATTTAGATCCAAAACATGTGGCCAAAAATTTAATTACACACGAAATAAACCCCAAAATTAGTCCAAATAATTAAAAACAAGTAACAAAATAAACAAAACAACAGACAATGTTACAGCAACACATAAAAACCACAATACAAGCAAACGAATGTTACAGAAATTTACTAGAACATGAAAATTTTAAAAAATAGATAAATAAAAAGGTCATTTCCACAAAAAGTAGGAAAGTTTAATTCCTAGTAATGTAATAATGAAGAGTTTCCCCTCTATTCAAATTAGAAATAACTCCAAATAATGAAGTATGTAAATTTACCATTAATCACTGGTTGGAATACAGCAATCCCATGAAATCTGTCAACCGCAAAATCAAGAATACAACCACCAACACTATGGAAGAAAAGAATCAAGCCTCATTTAAATTCAATAACATAAACTTTCATTCAATGATATAAATAAAAGTGCATTCTATTATGCCATTTAAACCTTAAATGCAAAATCCCTTGGATACATATAACAAATTTGATAAAATATATTTCACTTTTCATGCATTTTATACTTATTTTATATATATCTTAATCTAAATACCTCAAATATTGCTTAAATATTCTTTTCATTGCCTAAGAAATTATTTTTACTCATAGAACATTTTAATATGGAATACTTTACCTTTTTTCTAATTTAAAAAATATTTAAACTTTTTGTCACATAGTATAAAACAAAGCTTACGGAGGTAAATATAAAAAATAAATAAATGAAAAAATTAAATTTAAAAACAAATACAACACCACAACACAAAATAAAATTCACAGATGAAATGCAAGAAATAAATATACAGAAGGAAACTAATGTCATTTTATCTCAAACAAACACATGAAAAGGAGAAGAAAACAATGTTTAAAGATTAAGAATTTAACTAAGAAATGAGTTCTTTTCTTCCCTTTGTGAGCTTTGAACAGTAGAACAACAAAGGTTTGACATTTCACACTCTTTTAAAGCAACAGGAACACAAGTTTATATGAGATAGTTTAACTTCAAATATCTTATCTATCAGTTAGTTATCTTCAAATATTAACTGAAATTATGATGCCAAGTTCTAATTTTAAAATTGCAGAAAAGTGCTTATTATTTAGTCTGTGAGTAACAGAAGGGGAAAATAATTTAATCAGAAAGGCAGCAGAAGAATTTCAATGTAATTCATTTCAATTGAAAATTGTTTTAGTCCAACTTTATTTCTTGAAGAATAACTTGGGCAATGGCACTGTGGTGTTGCTAATCGAACAGCCGTTTCATTTCTTAGATTGTCAGTGTGGCCAAGAAAAAGAGAAAAAAAGGCATCAACACCTTTTAAGAATCACATGAGAAGTGACAAATAATTTAGACAGGACAAGATATTCACAAGAGAATAGAAGGATAAAAGCAAATCAGTGCTAACAAGAAAGTTACAACTTAAAAATAATGATTAAATGCCTACTTAATTGACACACTAATACACAGTAACTTGGCCTGGAAAACACTGCATTCATTCAAAATTCTAAAACGTTTGTTGTCCAGTTCAGAACCCAGAGCGTGAAGTATGCAGGAGCCTGGCTCTGGTACCTCTAAATTTTTTAGATAAAACTTAAATGTAGCTGGAACGCATCAGAGTCCTTAAATGGCTCCAGTACTTCTTTTATACAACTGAAGCAAAATTTCAGCAGAAAATTCTTTGGATTCTGAAAAGTTTATTTTAACAAAAGTCCGCCTTGAAAATCATTTCTAACTCTTGCCCATCTTTTCCAGGAAATGAGCACCTTAATGAAAGTTAAGATGGCAGAAAAGCTCTCACATGTCAAAGGCTTATTTTCCAGGAAATGCAATGAATTTATGAGTGTGGTTAAATTTGCATTTCCTGTTGGCAAGGTCATGGCCAGAAAGTGCTGGACTCTTCTCTCTTTTTTTTCCACACTTACACATCTGTTAAAATATCACATGGCCAAACCCATTGTCGGATAACCAATCAACCACCTTCTCATTATTTATTCTCCTCGCAAATATCCCATCTCCCAAATCATTTTTAACTACCCCTAACGAATGGGTCACCCCTCAATAGCACCCACTTCTGAGTTCAGAAGACTACGTTTTTCTGCTGGTTAAAATGTTTGGTCCTTGAATTTTAATTTCTCCTTTGTCCAAAATATTTTATGTAACAATATAGCTTTAATAACAGTATTTTATGCGGTATTACATAATTATTATTGAATTCACTAAACTTGTGCAATATTCTAAAATTTTTAATGATTTGATAACTAATTACCTATTTATTTAAAGCATTTTTATGGCTTAATAAAATAAATTAGATTTATACGATGCTTGTTTAAGTCATTTATTATTATATGATGCTTGTTTAAGTCATTTATTAACAATCTACACATTATATTATAATCATGAATACTTTTGAAATGTCAAAGATGTAACTTTCCATTGCAAAGACAAAACAAAAACAGTTTCTGCAATTTAAACAATATCTTTAAGACAACATTTTAAACTTGTGGAAATTTTCTACAATGCAGCTGAATAGCTTTTTAGTTCAGTTTTGGATGATTCTCAATACACTTTAGTTTCAGTTTTAAAGCAATATATTGCTACAGTGGTGTTCAGCACATGACTTGTGATTATTTGACTTCATCACATAATTACGAATTTATTATATTAGCTTTTAATAAAAGGAAAATGTTTTTACATGAATTAAAAAGAATGTTGTGGTGATGTACTGGTAGTTCACAATCGACTATGTTCTAAGCTCCTTACCTCAAGATTCATCTTTCAATTATAAATATGGAAAATTCCAAGTGTGGCAAAAAAATTTTTAAGATATTACTGCTTTGGTACTCTTCTGTCATAGGGACCAGATTCAGAAATGAATGTATGCATGCATGTGTTTATGCATATATGTGTGTATACATACATATGTACCAACATATACATATATATATATGCATACATGAACACGTATACTCATACATACATACATACATAAATTTCTGAATCCAGTCGCCAAATAACAGAAGAGTACCATTGGTTTAAACCCAAGCAGATGAAAAGGAATTTTTAACGTCTTAATTCATTAGTAAGAGTTTTTAATCAAAATCATTGTTACCTAGTAAAAAGAATTGTCCAGTTAGTTACTAAACTGCGGTTTTCAAAACATATTACATTGCACTAACCTTGTAGTTTGTGTCTCTCCCACCTCAATAAGTATTTAAAATAAACATTCTTGTAATATTACTCTGAATTAATTGTGTTTGACATTAAAAAGAGATAAGATCAGAATGAAAAATAAATAATGCCTTATTGTTGCATAAAAGAAAGCATTGCTTTATGTATGTGGAAGTTTAATTTATGAAAATGATGATGTTATCACACTTATTTAACTATAGTAAGTTGTACATACTTTCTTATCAATGTTTATGATCTAAAATTGTGTTAAAAATCAAATCTGAGATTAAGAGAGCAATGGGAAGAAGACATTTCCCCACGATGCCATTTTGGATGAGAGGGGTACATACCCAAATTTCCTTCCATGTTCTGGCACTATTTCTCTGTATTTCTATTAGTGGGTTTTTCAATTGTTTTACCTTTTTCCATTGGTATGCTAGAAAAATCATGGTCTTTGTTTCGATCATCCTTTGTAACAACAC